CAAAAAAAAAAAAAGAGGTCTTATCATTTTTTTCTTATTTTTAAATATCAAGGTTGATTGCCTTAAGATTAAAGAATAATAACAACAATAAATCTTTATCCTATTATGTGGTGTCAACTACATGAATCCTTTTTCTCCATTGTTTTGTTGAGGGTCAAATTCTCATCTAATCTAATAATGAAAGGTTATTTTTAATATTTTCTAACCAAGTTTTTTTAGGTCTGCTTCTATCTTTCTTAATATAAGTAAAATCTAATACATCTACTTTCCTAACCTGCCATCGGAAGGCCGCTGTTTTATGTGACCAAATCATCTAAGACGACTCTCAAGATTAGAGAATAAAAAATTGTATTTTTAAAGCATTTTGAATTGATTTGGGTATTATAGGTAAGAAATTTCAAACTTCGAATAATATCCCAATTTCAATGACATTTCAAATTTCAATTTGTTTAGTTTATAGATTCAAATTTCAGGTGGCACTTTTGCTCTGTATTCACTACTATGTCGGCACATCAACATCGGTAATCTTCCATCAAGAAATGTCAACTCAAGCACAGGTGTTTTATATTCTAATCGTTCCATGACTTCTGAAACAAGAAGTAAATTAGGAAAGTTTTTAGAGGAAAGCATAACAGCACAAAGGATATTGCTTTTCATAGCCATGCTGGGGATGTGCATGCTTATTGGTGATGGCATACTTACACCTGCTATTTCAGGTACTTGTTACCGGAAAACTTTTGGTGTTTGATTTTTTTTTCTTTTTAACACTTCTAATCATATAAATCAATTGATTTTGCTCAGTTCTATCAGCGATTGATGGGCTTAGAGGACCCTTCCCTTCCGTAAGCAAATGTAAGCAATTTGCAGACTTTTTTTTCAAAATTTTCCCCACCTCCCCTTCCACCCTTTCCATATAAATAATTTTCAATTGCTTTAGCTGCTGTGGAAGCAATTTCTGCTGTTGTATTGCTGGCTCTTTTCCTCTTACAAAAGCATGGTACTGCTAGAGTGAGTTTTCTTTTTTCTCCGATTATGGGTACCTGGACTTTGACTACACCAATAATTGGTGTATATAGCTTTTTGCGATTCTATCCAAGCATATTCAAAGCCGTGTCACCTCATTACATAGTTCATTTTTTTCTGAGAAATAGAAGAAAAGGCTGGGAATTGCTTGGAGGGACTGTTTTATGCATTACAGGTAAATTATTGCTGCAATTTTATGCCTTCTTTATTCGAATTTTCTAGATTTAGTATTGATGTTCACTTTCTTATTCCAGGTGCAGAAGCAATGTTCGCTGATCTAGGACATTTCAACAAAAGATCAATTCAGGTTAGTCAATTATTGTATCCTTTTTTTTTTTTGGTTAATCTTCTTTTGAGTTTTCGCTTGAGTAGATCTAAAACTGATTATATGAAATGTAATTTTAGTAGCAATAGACCTAGTAAGGGGATTGTAACTTTGGGCGATCAAGTCATTAATAAGAGTACACTTTTTAGATATCTTGGATCTATTATTCAGAGTGATGGTGAAATAGATGGGGATATTATCAGCAGAATAAGTTGGATGGTTGAAGTGGAGGAATGCTTCGGGCTTGTTGTGCGATAGAAAAGTCCCCCTCAAACTTAAGGGAAAATTCTATAAGATGGTGGTGAGACCTGCAATGATTTATGGTGCCGAATATTGGCCATTAAAAGAAAAGCATAATACTAAGTTAAGTGTTGCATAGATGAGGATGCTTAGGTGGATGAGTGGTTTTACCCTTAGAGATAGGATACGAAATTAGCATATACATGAAAAGGTTGGAGTAGCTCTAGTGGAAGATAAGATTAGAGAGAGTCGCCTTAGATGGTTTGGCCACATTAAACGGAGGCCTTCTGATGACCATGTTAGGAAAGTTGAGGTATTAGATTTGACTTATATTAAAAAAGGTAGAGGTAGACCTAAACAGACTTGGTTAGAAAATATTATAAATGATATTTCTTTATTAGATTTAAATGAGAATTTGAATTTTAACAGGACACAATGGCGAAAAAGGATTCATGTAGCCGACCCAACATAGTGGGACAAAGGCTTGATGTTGTTGTTGTTGTTGTGGTTAATCTTCTTTTGAAGTACACATCCTGTAATTTTGCTGGTTCTTGATGCTACATTTTCTTCTTGAAGCATAAACAAATATTTGACCTTTTGTATGCAGATGGCTTGCCTTCTCACTATATATCCTTCATTGGTTCTCACTTATGCCGGGCAAACGGCCTATCTAATCAAGCATCCCGATGATCACAACGATGGGTTTTACAAATTTGTGCCGCACCCAGTCTACTGGCCCATGTTTGTGATTGCAACGCTAGCTGCAATTGTTGCAAGCCAGTCTTTAATATCTGCCACCTTCTCTGTTATCAAGCAATCAGTAACCCTGGATTACTTTCCTCGTGTCAAGGTGGTTCACACATCCAAACACAAAGAGGGTGAGGTTTACTCTCCTGAAACCAACTACATCCTCATGGTCCTCTGTATATTGGTCATACTTGGTTTTGGCGATGGGAAAGATATTGGAAATGCATTTGGTAAGATCCCAACACTAATTTATCACTTTTACAATTGCAAGTGATGTTAGTATAGCTTGTTAATCTAAGCTAATATTTTTCTGTAGGTGTTGTGGTTATACTAGTCATGTTTATCACCACACTTCTGCTAACTTTAGTAATGATCATCATCTGGAGAGCCCCAGTTGCTCTAGCCATGCTATACTTTGTTCCCTTTTTCATCATTGAAGGTGTTTATGTAAGTGCAGTTCTTACTAAGATTCCAAAAGGAGGATGGTTTCCGTTTCTCGTATCGGTCGTCCTCGCATTCATAATGTTTGTATGGTACCATGGGAGGCAGAGAAAGCTAGAATATGAGATGAGGAACAAAATATCAGTAGATAGTTTCAATAGGCTCTTATCATCCTTGGAGATCCAAAGAGCCCCAGGGCTGTGTTTCTTCTATAGTAACATCCAGGATGGGCTTACTCCACTACTTGGGCACTATGTGCGCAACATGAGATCCTTGCACAAAGTGACCATCCTAACCACTTTTAGGTATCTATTGGTGTCTAAAGTGGATCCTAATGAGAGAATCATCATAAGAAAGCTTGGCATTGAAGGCTTATATGGTTGCGTAATTCAATATGGATATGCTGATTCTCTCAATGTTGAGGGAGATAATTATATCTCCCAAGTCACAAATAGTATGAGGGAACATATCAGGTATAATTTTGATGGACTATCTCCCACCTCTCTTGAAGGGGAGATTTCTCAGTTGGAAAAGGCAGAAGAGGAAGCAGTAGTTCATGTTCGTGGAAAGACTAGGTTTCATATAGGTGTTCAGACCAGCTTTTCTGATAAGATTTTGCTCGGGTTCTATGAGTTTTTGCATGGCAACTGTAGATCTGCATTGCCTGCTTTGGGAGTTCCATTACAGCAGAGAATGATAATTGGCATGGTGTACAATACTTGAAAGCCATTACAGAAGTTCTTGTTTATTCTCAGGTTTAAGCGACCTATTATCTTTTAGAGGAAAACAAAGATATTTTCGTTTGGGACAGTTTTCTTACTGCTTTTTAAAGTAATTTTGTGGTACAAAAATTTCTAGTTAAAAAAAATTTTGTACTAAAAAATTATTTTAGAAAGAAATAAAAATCCTACCCCAAACAAAGCCTAGGTTATACTATAAAATTGTAATTGTATTTTTTTTTTTTGGAATGTGGTTATGTACCTGTTGTCATCCTCCATAGGAGTCGCATGGCAGCGTAACTAATCCCTCAACAAGGCTATCAGTAACCAGACCTACAGGTGCAGGACTTGCAGTTATTTTCTCTTCACTTAAGGGGTCGTGTTGCATGAGAGGGGGATCAAATATGAGTTAGGGGTTTCTTAATTATGCTCGTCCGCCAACCCAGCTAAGTCCGGTGGAGTAAAATTGTAATTTGCATTTGGGGTGAGATTGGAAGACAAGATTTCTGGTGCAAATGCATGCTAGATTTTTGTATTTAACACTACATGTGTAAGACTTTTAATGGAGAATTGGAGATGAGATTTTATACCATAATTTTCTTGATTAATGAAGATTATATACTTTGCATATGAGAAGTTTCTTGTTGAATAATGGTGGGCTTCATGTGGTAGTTAACCAAAGGACTAAAGATTATAATTGAGTAATAATAATTTTTCATTATTTTTAATCAGAAAAGACAATAAATAAGTAAAAATATTCTAATACATTTTGTGATAATTATCTTATTTTTATTATATTTAGCTTTGATTTTATGCATCAAGACATCTCAACAGCAACAACAACAATATCAAGTCTTTATCCCACTATGTCAGTTTGTTTACATGAATCTTTTTGCTCTATTGTGTTTTATTAAGAGTAAAATTTTCATTTAAATCTAATTTAAAAAATATCATTTATAATACTTGTTAATTAAATTTTTTTAGGTTTATCTTTAAATTTCTTAATAGAGATTTGAATTTATTTTCAAATTGTAATATTGCTGATTTAGATTTATTTTCAAATCATAATAAAGCTTTATTTGTAAAGCTTTAATGACATGTTATTATAATTTATTAGGGAGTTCATTTATTTTTTAAGTATTTGATTTTATTGGGATTTGATTGGGAATTAGATTATTAAGTCTTTTTTTTTTTAATTGTTTCCCTCAAATCTATTAATTGAGGGGTTCGGGGGTTGTAATAGTTGTAGTGGGAGAGAAAGAGTTTGAGAGCTATTGTAATTCCCTTTTTTTTAATATAATGAAATCATTATTTTCTTCCCGTAGACGTAGGCATCTTTGTTGAACCATCTAATTCGTTGTGTTTTTTATTTTAATATTTTTAAATAAAACTATTGTTTGATTAAATTTATTTTTTATTCATTAAAGTATTAAAAAAAAATTTGTTATATCAATTAATAAAAAAATTTTGTTTAAAAATAAAATTTTGTTAAATCAATTAATAAATAAATTTAATTTAAAAAATTTACTATAATTATAAAATAAACAGAAATAGGAATACGAAAATGCCATAATTTTTTAATTATGGACATTCTGTTTTTGAATTAAGTTATAATTAAGAAAGCAAAACACTTTTGAATTAAGGAAATTTGGTTTATTAAGAAACCGGAGTATGATAATCCGATTTCTTATTAAGAAATTTTGTTCCGGTTTCTTTTCAAATAAAAAAATTCAGAGAATAAAAAAATTAAGAATTTATAGAAATAGAGAAGTAAATGAAAAATTTAAGAATTTATAGAAACATAGAAGTAAATTAAAAAAAATTAAGAATTAATAGAAACCAGAGAAGTAAAATTCGGTTTTCGATCAAAGTAGAAACTGGAGAATGAAATTTCGGTTTCTATTGAAACCGGATAATTAAGTTTTGTATTTATACATTTTTAAAAAATTTCTTTAATATGCTTCTTAAACTAATTTACACTTAAAAAAGCTCCTCTTTATAAAATGCCCAGACAAAATTATGGTTTTTTGAGTTTTCATAAGAACGTAGATCTATATTTGGACTCCAATTACATCATGACACATGAAGTGTAGACGTGGATATTTAAATTTGATTTCGTTTTAAATTTTATCTCATCGACCCGATCGACTCGACCCTGAGTTTCAGCATCCAGTTCAAATTTAGATTCTAGGGTTAACGTCCTTTTTTTAAATGAAAATAACCATAAAAGTTTCGTAATATATAGGATTTTATCTTAATAAATCTTTTATATCTGCTAAGAAACAAAAAAACAAAGAAGAGCCAATGAAGAGGAAGAATGATTTAGAGGAGTGTGTTTGTTATTCAAGCCGAGGATATGCGTACATAACGTGGAATTTCAAAGGCGATATACAAACTCCAAGAAAGAAGAAGAATTGAAGTTGAAAGAGTTGCAGCCTTAAGGAATAATAATATATATATATATTTTTGTATACTTAGGGAATATATAAGGGGTTCTAGGGGGCAAAGGCCCCTGGCAAGGTTCGACTTGCCCATTAGGTTGCGGGGTGAAGGGGCAGTGTCCTTGCCAGAGTTTACGGGGGCAGCACCCCAGAACAAATTTTGGTTGTAAGGGAAATTTTCAAATTGTGCTTGTTTTTATTAAATTCATTGTAATAAAATTAATTTTTGCTACTTGACTTCATGCCAGTAACATTTTTACACTATGTAAGGAAATTTTTTTTGATAATGTAATTCAGTAAGCTTTAACTATTGTTAATTGTGCTTTTACTATACTTTTGTTGAGCTTTCAATGTGCTTTGATGCGCTTTCACTATGCTTTCACAGCGCAGTGAAAATGCAACTAAAGTGTAATGAAAACGTAACTAAAGTGTAATAAAAGCACATCTAAAACACAGTAAAAGTACAATGAAAGCACATTTAAAATGAGATTAATTATAGTGAAAACACAACAAAAGCACAATTAAAGCGCCATTTAAAAATGTAGTTATATATTTTAAAGCTATGCAACCTACTTTTGAAAACTAAATTAGTTATACTAACTGATACCATGAAAGCAAATGCACAATAAAAGTACATTTAAAGCACAATTAAAATGAGACTAAAATGAATAAAAATAACTCAAAAATTTTAAAGCAAACAAAAATAACCTAATTTTTAACCTAGAAGAATTCCGGAGAATAATTTTTCCGTTGAGTTACATATGGCTTGAAAAAAGGCTATATAATATGCGGAGCACATGTGCCGCCGCTTCTTTAATCTTAGTTCATACCTGCACCATTTTAATTATTTTTAATAATTTTCCTTAAAGTCAAATATAATTTGGTAGATCAATTTATTTCGAGGGGCCTTATTCATTTGTTGGTCCACATAAATTTAATGTTAGCCCCCATGAAAAACGACAGCCGGAATTGCATGACATGTGCACCGAGTAAATCCCCATGGGAACGATGGAGAATTTGTGATCCTTCTCTTTCCTGATTTCAACGTGCTTCAAAACCCCTAACAAGCTGGACAAATCTCCGAGAGTTAATTAGCCCTCGAGCTTCTCTTTCTCCGTGTGTTGACCTTTTTTTTTCCGGTTGCCATGGTTGTGGAAGCCGGTACGCCAATGCTGCAACTCTTGTCGCCCGGAAGAACTACGGTGAGTAGGCAGAGTATAATCGATGTGGTCTCATCGGGGAACTCAACGTCAGCTTCGAAATGTTTGGCTTTCAATTTGATCGATTTGGTATTTATATTTTTCTAAAATTTATTTGAAAATTAGTCATTTTGAATGGTTTTCATCAAGGCAAGGGCAATTCATCTAGGTTTTCGAGGGTTTTTTTTTTCAATTGGAAAATTTATGATTTGTACTCTACTTTTGCTGCTTTATATGGGTGATCACCTTGCATCTGGTGCTTCTTGTGGAGTGGAGGTATTCAATCGAGCCACTGGTTTTAACAGATAGGGTGCTTTTTTGTTTTCTGAACTTTAACTTTCTGGCTGACATCTCAATCCATTTTGGTGTGTTGCTCCAACAAGTGTCATAAAAAGAGTCTGTCATTTTCTATGCTTGTAGAATTTTTGTTCATTTTATGAAGGGTTTGGTTTGACCTACATTTGTTTTATTTTTATTTTCTTATGGGGTTAATTCTTGTTTCAATATCTTTGATCATTTTTTCATTATATGTGCTTAATTGGACTTTGTTCTTGATCAGTTGATTTATGATTTCTGCTTATAAGTATACTTTCTGAACAGGAATGCAGGCGTTGGAGAGATTTTATTCTAGCTTATAGGACACTGGGAGTAGTGTTTGGTGGTCTAGTCACATCTCCTCTCTATGTTTATCCTTCCATGAACTTGGATTCCCCAACAGAAGATGATTATTTGGGTATTTATAGCATCATGTTCTGGACTCTAACTCTAATTGGGGTGGTCAAGTACGTCCTCATTGCTCTTAAAGCTGATGATAATGGTGAAGGTAACCTTTTTTTTTTTTTCTGATCCTTTTATATAAGCTCTGTTTGGTTAGAAGAAATTGAAAGAGAGGAAATTAAATGGAAATGGTAAAGAATTAAAATGAAATTTGTTTCCACCTACTGATTTGGTCAAGCAGTAATTGAGTGAAACGTGTTTTTTTTTTTCCTGCTTAGTGGATGAGAAATTGAGTTTTTATTTATAGTGCGGAGGAGACGCGGGAATTAAAATCTTGATTTAATAATTCTTTCTTCTTATTTTTCACTAGAATTGGTATAAATTTTCAATGAAAAAAATTCTTTTGATCACATTTCTTAGATAAATCCAATTACCTCTTAGTTATTTTGAAACTAAGCACCCAAGGTATGCGAAGTTCTGAAGTAAAATACATTTACATTCCATTTTATATTCTTAAATCTTTGGTTTTTTCAATTTAACCGCACTCACAGGCCTAGCGCTGCTCTTAAATGCAAAAATAGTCAAATCATACAATCTTTTGTGTCTATTACTACAAATAATCCTTGAGGAACAGGAGAGGATGAACATAAGTATGTGTGCCCTCATAATTATTACTAAGATGCTAAAATTGTGCTGAATGTAGTTTAAAGAAAAGGCAACTAAGTTTTAAATATGCACAAAATAAGCATGCATTCTAATCAGATTGAGTCCCAAGCCCAAATGTTGTTTATTTTATGAGGTTTTGACTTTAATAATGTGGAATAAATAGGGAGCAAAAGCGTTGCGAGAACAAATGGCATCCCACCTATCTTATTTGATATGTGTTGTCATTATCTGATTTCAACTCCAATAGAATCAACAAAAAGGTGTGACAACTATCTTATTCTTCTTGTGGAATTTTAGGATTGGTTTCCTGAAGTAAAGGGAAAAATAAAAAAATCTTGCAAACATTTTGTTATGCTTTTGGCATTTATAGTTAAAGCTATAATTTTTTTGATATATGAGTCATAATCATGTTCTAATATATATAACTTTTCTTATTTTTCATTAGGATTGTTTCAAATTTTCAATGAAAGTAATGAAGTTATGCGAATTTTTGAAGTAAAATGTATTTTCATTTCCTTCAATTCCATCAAATCACACAAAGCTATCATCTTAACACAAATGGATCCATTCAATAATGAGACTGTCATCTGCTTATAACTCAAAGGCCTTTTTGGTGCTCTTACAATTTGAACTAGGCAAATCGTAAGGCCTTTTGTGTTTTTCAATATAAACAATCTCGGAGGGATAGACGAAGAAGATAAACTTAAGTACGTGTGTTCTCATAATTAGTACTAACAGGCTAAAAAAGACCCAAATGAAATTTAAAGAAAAGAGAACCAAAGTCATGTTTTAAAATTGAACAAAATACGCGTACATTCTAATCAAATCTAGCCTCAAGCCCTATTATTTTTTATTTTATGATGTTTTTACTTCAACAATAATATATAACTAAGGAACAAAAGTATAATACAAGAATTAATGATGTCCCACCTATCTTATTTGATAGTGACGTGTTTGAATTTAGTTTTGACTCTAATAGAATCAACAAAAAGATGTACTACACACGTTATTCTTCTTCTGAAATACTAAGATTAGTTTCCTAAAGAAAAGTGGTAAAAAGAAGATTTTATCTTAAAAGCGTTTTCATTTACCGAGGCATTTATAGTTAATGTTTCATATCTGAACAATATCCCAATTTTGGTGAACTTCGTTTAGATTTTTGAATTTCTAATATCAGGTGGCACTTTTGCGCTGTATTCACTGCTATGTCGGCATATCAATATTGGCAGTCATCCATCAAGAAGTGTCAGCTCAAGCACATATATTTCACATTCTAGTCATTCCATGAACTCTAGGACAAGTAATTTAGGGAAGTTTTTTGAGGAAAGTATTACCGCAAAAAGGATATTGCTTTTCATAGCAATGCTGGGGATGTGCATGCTTATTGCTGATGGCATACTTACACCTGCTATTTCAGGTACTAGTTGCCATATTACTTTTAGTATTAGAATTATTTAGGATGTCTAATGATCTGTATTAAATTGGTTTTGTTCAGTTTTATCAGCAATTGATGGAGTTAGAGGACCGTTTCCTTCGGTAAGCGCATGTAAGCAATTTACAGATGGTCTCTTCCAAATTTTCCCTCTCAGCCCTCCTTTCTAAATTTATAATTTTTAATTGTTGTAGCTGTTGTGGAAGCTCTTTCTGTCATTGTATTGCTAGCGCTTTTCCTTTTACAAAAGCATGGTACTTCAAAAGTGAGTTTTCTCTTTTCCCCGATAATGGCCACCTGGACTTTGACTACACCAATTATTGGTATATATAGCTTTTTGCGACATTATCCAAGCATATTCAAAGCTTTGTCACCTCATTATATAGTCTACTTTTTTCTAAGAAATAGAAGAAAAGGTTGGGAATGGCTTGGAGGAACTGTTTTATGCATTACAGGTAGTTATTGCTGGAAATTGCGTTCTTTTTACAAACTTGCAAAACAAACTTTCTAGATTTTGCATTGCTACACACTTTTTCTTCTTTTCCCTGTATCCAGGCGCAGAAGCAATGTTTGCTGATCTAGGACATTTCAACAAAAGGTCAATTCAGGTTTGTTTGTTTGTTGTACTACCTTCATTTCTTTTCTTTTCTTTTTTTATCTTCCTTTGAAGGTCACAGACTATAGTTGAGCTGATTCTTGACACTATTTTTTGCTCTTGAAGCTTCAACTCATGGTTCATCTTCTTCATGTAGATGGCTTTCCTTTTCACTATATATCCTTCATTGGTTCTCACATATGCCGGGCAAACGGCCTATCTAATCAAGCATCTCGATGATCACGCCGATGGGTTTTACAAATTTGTGCCTCAACCAGTCTATTGGCCTGTGTTTGTAATTGCAACACTAGCTGCAATTGTCGCAAGCCAATCTTTAATATCTGCCACCTTTTCTGTTATTAAGCAATCAGTAGGTCTGGATTACTTTCCTCGTGTCAAGGTGGTTCACACATCCAAACACAAAGAGGGTGAGGTTTACTCTCCTGAAACCAACTACATCCTCATGGTCCTCTGTATATTGGTTATACTCGGTTTCGGTGATGGGAAAGATATCGGGAATGCATTCGGTATGATATCAACTCTAATTTATTCATTATACTATCACGATTAAAGTTCGTATAGCTTGTTAATCCGAATGTTTCTTCGCAGGCGTTGTGGTTATTGTTGTCATGCTCATCACCACACTTCTATTGACTTTAGTTATGATCATCATCTGGAGAGCCCCAATCTTTCTAGTCATGCTATACTTTATTCCCTTTTTCATAATGGAAAGTGTCTATGTAAGTGCAGTTTTTACAAAGATTCCAGAAGGAGGTTGGTTTCCATTTCTTGTATCCATCATCCTCGCATTTATGATGTTTGTGTGGTACTATGGTAGGCAGAAAAAGATAGAATATGAGTTGAGAAACAAAATATCAATAGATAGCTTCAATGACCTCTTATCATCCTTGGAGGTCCAAAGAGTCCCAGGGCTGTGCTTCTTCTATAGTAATATCCAGGATGGGCTTACCCCATTACTAGGGCACTATGTGAGAAACACTAGATCTTTGCATAAGGTGACTATTATTGTCACTTTCAGGTATTTATTGGTGCCAAAAGTGAATCCTCAAGAGAGAATCACCATACGGAATTATGGAATTGAAGGCTTATATGGTTGCATAATTCAATATGGATATGCTGATTCCTTCATTGTGGAGGGAGATGATTATATCTCCTCCGTTATAAATAGTTTGGAAGAGCTTATCAGAAATAGTTTCGATGGACGGTATTCCAATTCTCCTGAAGAGGAGATTTCTCAGTTGGCAAATGCAAAAGTGGTTGGACTTGTTCATGTTCGTGGAAAGACTAGGTTTCATGTAGGTATTCAGACCAGCTTGTCTGATAGGATTTTACTCGGCTTTTATGAGTTTATGCATGGCAATTGTAGATCTGCATTGCCTGCTTTGGCAATTCCGCTACAGCAGATCATGGAAATTGGCATGCTTTACAATACCTGAATTGCATTGCAGAGGCCTTGTAATCACCATATGTTGCATGCATTTGATATTCTAGAATTGATTGTACTATATGTAATTCTATATACATATACATATGTGGAATTTAGAAATGCAAAATTGTGGAAGTTAGTATATTTTGTTGTGAAAGTTCTTATTTGTTTTGGTAGCTAAGCTATATTGCAGAGGAAAATTAAAATAGAAAGTTTCAGTGGCATTATAAACAAGTTATTTGCATGAAGCGTGCGATTGAAGAGAAGAAATAAGGTGCATGAGTAGATTAGACTTTGTATTTGACACGAAATCTGCAAGTTCTATGGTGCAGAATTGGAGGTCGTACATTTTTTTGTTGTACAGGATAGACTTTATGGAGCGTATAAACCGAATCAATGAAAATTATATTTCATCAGACTATTTTTATTGTTGAACAAAAGTGGGCTTCATGGGGGAATTGACTCCAGCTTGGAGATTGTTGTTGTTAATGAGTCAAAATTAAGCCTGGTTATATGGGCTCCATCTCCGTGGCCATTTTCTTTTTCTTGTGTCGTGTCGGCAAGGAGAGTTTTAAGGAGTTTAAGTTTCGAGGTAAGTTTTTAGAAGACAGATTAGCTTTATAGGTAAGACATTATCCAAAGGTTTTGCCCTCATTTTCCAATGATTTTATAATCTAAGTTTAGGTTTCCTATAGACGCAAGCTCCTATAGTTAATTGCCCCTCCTAATAATGAGAGAATTTTTTTAATAAGGCTAGTTGTCAAATAGATACATAGTATCCAAAGTATAGTATTAGTAGAATTAAATATTGAAAATTGAAATCTTATCACCGCATACTTAAAAGCGGATGCTGGGGGGATAATGATGAACCCGATCAAGATTCCATGATTCCATCGTTCTGGGTAGAGGTATAAACGAGTCGAGTTGAGTCGAGTTTAGGCCCTTATCAAACTTGGCTCGTTAGATGGAAAGCAACTCGAACTCGAGCTCGTCTCACTGTAAACGAACTCGAGCTCGAGCCGGCTCTCAAGTCATGCATGGGCAGAAATTTTTAAATTTAGGTGAGATTTTTAAAAATTTTAAAAATTAGCCGGGATTTTTAAAACTTAAGCGGGATTTTTAAAACTTAGATAAAATTTTTAAAAAAATATGAAATGTTTAACATTTAAATAAAATTTAGGTGATTATTATTATTATTTTTTAATATTTAAATTTAATAAATAAAATAAAATTATTTTTTACTCAATAATTTAGAGTCTTTGGGAAGCATAAATGCTCTGACTATGATCATAATCAAGTGGTATCATTTAGTGACAAAACCACCTGATCAGATGGTCATTGTTATAATTGTTTACCTGTGGCGCCATTTGTTAGCGAAACCACTAGTTAGAGGACACATGTCACGTCCTTATTGGCAAAAAATAATTTGAGAATGACTATTTTTCGGCATTTTAAAAGTTTGGGTTTCCCTCCAATTGAGATTTTCTATCAAAACGACAATCATTGGGGTTTATAGGTAATTTCACTTTATTGGAAGAACCTTGTTGACTCTATCTACTTGTCGACAGAGAATTGGATTAGCATAAATTTTACGTTTTTTGTGATGATTCTTTCTTATAACAGACCTTGATGATTTAATATGAATGTAAAATAAATACTATTGTCGACACTATGATCGTATATTTGTTCGACAATACAAGCCGTGTCAACTATATATATTTGTCGAGAGAGGATCAGGTTCTATGTATGCTTCATGCTTTAGTTAATGAATCTTTATTATAATAGATTTTGATGACCTAATATAATCTTACAAAACAAATACCTTGGTCAACCTTACGGCTTTGTATTTGCTCGATGATTCAGGCCATGCCGACTCTGCCTATTTGCCGACAGGGGATCAAGCTTGAACTTAAGTTCATTTATTGACTTGCACAGCATGCTCAGACATCACATGTGTGTATACGTCATGCTCATCGGGGCACATGCGAGTATATACTTTTGCATGTATTTTACATAATATATTTGTATAGAGGTTATATATATGCAATGCAATGAGTGTATATGACATATTTGTATATTTGCACACACGCTTACGCTTTTATCTGCGTGTTAATATACTCACATTTATACTTGTGCATTTGCATGTATATGCATATGCTGATATATTCATTTGTGTATTGCTTGATATTTAGTATGTTACATAGTGGCTTAATGTAGTAGTGTATGATACATACATACAATACTTCTATGCATCACCTGTTTGCTTGCATAATATATTTGCATGACAATTCAATATTTTCACGTAGTGCATGAAGTATTTGCATGTTGGTGTAGGTGATATCACTACACAGTGCATTTTACATGTTGTATGGTGTACTTGTGCAATGTATTTTGTATATTGCAACATGTATATACACTATGTGATTGCCTATTAATGTAATGTGCCGCCACAATGTGGCGTATATTGAGTGATGTATTTGTATGATACACCATGCATATTATAAATGTGTGCATGTTATGAATTTGTTAGTGTGCATTTTAATGCTTTAGGTGGTGTTTTTGCAATATTCAAATATGATCAATTATGCAAGTGTTCATCATTTAGAATATGCACGAGTTTCCTCAAGGGGCCTATAAACGTCTTCTATTTGCTTATATGAATGTTGTGGATTTAGTGGCTTTGTTTATAAGTGCATTGGGTTTTATTTAGTATGCATCAGGAGTGTGTTTAGCTCATTTATCTTATACAAGCTATTATTTTTGTTAGTATGGAAACTGTATGAGTGTACATCTATATACAAACATGTGCGATGAATCAAGAGCCCTCCACCAGTGATCTATAGTTTTTACTATATATTCCTTGCTTATGCTTGCAAGTGAATCGTAGCACTGTGTTATAGGTCATTTGCTGCTTTATGCAAGTAGGTTGTCGTGCAATACAAGCTTTGTTGACACTGTTTGTGATCTAGTGCTAGGCATTCAGGAGCCACCAGCTATTGCATTTAGATGAATTGTGCTTAACGCGAATGTTCCAACATCACTTGTAGGTGGGTTGCAGCATTGCGTTATGGGTCACTCGTTTATTCTTGCAAGCTAGCTGTCGTGCCATATAAGCTTTGCTAAACTTGCTTGCAAGTTGTCAGTGGGCATTCAAAAATCACAGGCTATTTTGTATAGGTGAACTATGCTCAACGTAGATTTTTCTAGCATTGTATGTAGGTGGGCCATAGAGTTTCACTACGGTTTGCTTTTTTACTTCTTGCAGGTGAGTTATCATGTCATGCAAGATTTGTTGAATTTGCCTATAGGTTATTAGTGAACATTCCAACATCACCAGTTTAACTCATAGGCAGATTGTTGTGTACATGATGAATTTTCTACAATGGCTCGTAGATGCTTGCATTTATCACAAGCTCATTGCTTTTGCCTTAAGGCATTATGTCACACTCGTTGTAATCTCCTTATGTCTGTAGAAGATCCATCATGCTTGCAATATACTCACTATCATTGTTTGTAGGCATGACCACTGCATGTATTACGAACCTTCTAATGTTACCAGTGAGCAAGCTATGTTGAATGCAAATCTTCTAATGTTGCTCATAAGTATTTGCATATGTTGCATATTGGCATCCTTTACTTGCCAGGGATTAATGTATTTTCCCAACATTGAATTGTTGTTGACTGCAAGGGTGTCGTAATAATCATTGTCTATCATTGATTATCACCCAAAGGCATACTATCATGTATATATCAAATCTTTCCTTATTGCTAGTAGATGTTTGCATTCATCGTCTATTGCATTGTGTATGCTTGTAATAAGCTTTGTTGTTTGCAGGAAAGTTAATGTGTTCATTTGTTTGTTGATGTGGGCTACAAGGTGAGCTGCATTTATCGCTAATTTCCTTATGTACATCCATCGACAACTTACTACGCTCATTTTGTATTGACTTTCAAGATTCATAGGGGATGCCACACTTATTTACAAGCTGGGTGACATTAAATGAAGGGAAGTCATAGTATTCATTGCATGTTGGTTGGTAAGTTGTTATACTCACGTGTATGTCTTTGGTTGTCACCCATAAACACTCATAGGCTTCTTGTTGTTTCCTGTAAACAGACCATTATGTGTGTCATGAATTCATGCTCATGCATATAGGCAACTTATTTTATTCACTATATGTCTCTTGCATATGCTCATGAGAGCTTGTACTCACTACAGGTTCTTGGTCCTTGCTGTAAATTGACTAATTGAACATGACATGTTGTTTTAATCTTATCATTTATGGGCTAATTAACACATGCATCAAGGGTTTGCTCACTACTTATCTTCTCATTGATGTTCAGTTGAATGACCCTGCTTGTTAGTTATCATTTGTATTTTAATGTGATTGTGCATTTATTAGTTTAGAGTGCAATTCCTTATTTATTAAATTGCAAGTTCAGTTCCCTATGATTATTCAAGTTATGTTCTTTTTCAATCCATATTTTGGTATCCTCTCGGCGTGTCCCCCATTTAGGGGAATGTTTGAGAGTCTAGGCCTTTCCACTACGCTATGAAAATCGTGTATGGTTGGTGTCGTGTGACACCGTAGCTATGGTTTTCAATCCCACCATTATACGAAAAGCGTGTATGAATCTTTGAGGTACCTGCGTTGAAGCTTGCAAATTTTTTTGTAGACATAGAAACACGTACAGGGGTACTTAGAAAAAGCGTGTACAAGACATGCCCGTCTCGCCGCAAGCATTGCACATAGCTCCCTCCCACCACGCTAAGAAAAGTGTGTATAGGTGAAGTGCCAAAAAATAAAATTTAAAGGTTTTTCTTGATTTTAGAAGTCATTATACCTTTGCGAGCAAAGCGACGATGGTGTCAGTGTCGAGGCGATGATGTTGACAATATCACATAAATTTTATTTTTTTTCTCTCCTCTTTTTTTTGAAAATTCTTTTGTTCTCTTTTTTATTTTATAATAATAATAATAATAATAATAATGATAATAATAATAGAGGGAAGGGGAAAATGGGTTGTTGTTGGAGGAGTGTAGAGTGAATGGCTAGGCAGTAGGGGTGTGGGCTTTCTGTTGGGCTAGAGTTTGGCTAAATGGAAGGAATAAGAGGCAGTGAGAGAAGCTTGGGTTGAGGAGG